TTGTAGATGTGGGTGTGGGCACGAGTGTAGTTGTAGGTGTGGGTGTGGGTGCGAGTGTAGTTGTAGGTGTGGGTGTGGGTATGAGTTCATCTTCCCTTAACCCACACCCACACCCACACCCACACCCCACACCCACACCCAGCCACCCACACCCACACCCACACACCCACACACCCACACCCTCAACTAGAGAATTTAAATATAGAAGATTATGATACACAAAAGTTCATTAATAATGCATTATTTCAATATCAAAGAAATTCTCCAACATCATCATTAGATTTATTTAAATCTTAATTATCTGAACAAGAAAGCTTGTCATCTTAAACCTTCTAAGACAGAAATATGAAATTTACATGTTGTGTTTAGTTTCATTGTTTTAATAGAAAATCTGGAAATGTTTAATAAATCTAAAACCTGATTGTTCATGTCGAACAGATACTGTCTAATATATGTTTTCGAAGAGAATAGTGAGTGTAAACTTTAATTTGAAGTTTTTTGGTTCAATACTTATAATAATAAAAAATGAAAAGTAACTAATGTCGGATTTTTTAAAAAGTACCAACGACTATTTTTTGAATAACTTTTCAATGCCTCAAGTTATAGAGATCGGATTTTCACCATTAGAAAGAGTAAGGTGGAGGACGTCGATCTATATAAAATTCATTAGGTTTATGAGTCTTATTGTATGGTTGTTTGTAGTCAAATATCTTATCGCTTGTCTATTTTCATGAGTTTTCATGACAAGTTAACATATAATTAGATCAAAATGTGGTCCAAATCGTCCTGTATTTGTGCTAAAATTTTCAAATCTTTACAACTTATTCTTGAGTTTATTTCCCTATGCTTTGATGTTAAAATGTGAAAATTTTAGCACAAATACAGGACAATTTGGGCTACATTTTGATCTAATTAGATGTTAACTTGTCATGAAAATAGACAACCGATAAGATATTTTACTACAAACAACCATACAAAAGACTTATAAACCTAATGAATTTTATATAGATCGACGTCCCCCACCTTGCTCTTTCTAACGGTGAAAATCCGACCTCTATACCTTGAATCGTTGAAAAGTTATTCAAAAAATAGTTGTTGGTACTTTTTAAAAAATCCGACATTAGTGAATAGTATCAATGAAAATGAAATATACAGGGGATGTGACGAAGCAGAACCGTTAGAAAAACAAAAATAAAATTTCTGTCCGAAATACTGAGAATATAAAAGACGACATTTGTTAACAATTGATCATCTGTTAGATATTTTTCATTATATATTTTGTATTAGTATAATGAATCTATAAGAGACATGTGAGTTTCACATTTCAATCCAACAGAGGTTACGTTAACAAGCTTTTATTAATAAATTTCGATAAAAAAAATTATTTTCTATTTTACATGGACATCGTGCTTTTGTTTCCATTGTTGTTATTTATTCATTATTTTTCTTTTTCTAATTTTTAACTTGTAATTAATTATTAAAAGTAATAAAAAAAACAAACAAGACTATTGCAAATATTCTATAGACCTATTTCAGCATGTTAAAACATAGTTTTATAAAGAGTGGGTGGATGTGGATGTGGATGAATACATATTTCATACCAACACTCATACTCACATCCACTCACACCTGAACCCTAAAAGATTGATATTTCTATTTGAAAGTTTGATATCTTCCTACCTTGCATGCGTATTGTATGATTTTTTTCGAAATGTTTCATTTATAGTTGAAACATTAAACTAATTCCACTCGGTAGTATTTTAAGCTTCGCCTTAGTTATCGCTCAATATTTCTTCAATAGTCTTCTATTCTCACTGCTTATTTTTGAATTTATTCGATGTTTAACCTATGTGATTTAAGAAGTATCTGACATTGATAAAAATATTGATGTGATCCATTTTTTTACTTTGAAACCGTAGATTGTAGAAAATTTCGATGAATCTATTCAAGATCAACTATCATCAGATCAAAATAAAAGCATCAGAGGAAGGGGATATCACGCATTATATTACGACATACAATATGATGATTGAAGTCTATTTTTGTTATGAAAATATTCGCCCTTGGCAAGTATATCTTTGAATCATATAGAGTCTCAATTGAAATTATATCATGAAAAGAAAACATCTTCTTGAGATCAGAATATTTATTATTAGTCATAAGATAATAATCGGAAATAGACCTTCGTTCTTTTAAACGTATTTCTTAATTTTAGAGTCGTATAAATAAACTTGTCCTCATGTAATTATCGAAAAGCACAGTGCTTGATAAAATATTTATTATTGATTGTAATTATATAATTTATTTTCGAAGAGGAGAGCAATTATGAAAAAAAATTATTAAAGTCTTTTAATATAGATAAAGCACCACGTACAAAATAAGTCGCTATAGCTACTTGATATTCGATTTCTGTTTGATTATTATTAAAAATAGCATCACTGATAGTAGGAAAACCACTTGCTGCATATTGATTATCTTTAGATGGTGCAAAGACAATATGTCTTAAATAGAAATATTAAAATAGATTATTGAAAGAAAAAATTGAATTCCTACTTAAAATCAGTATAATCACCACCTTGACCTAATGGATTTAGAAATGAACGTTCAAGTTGTAACAATTGATCATTATAAAATCGAATTTCGTATGGACTTGAAAAATAAAAATTTTTTTTATTTTTTCAAAGTCAATACTAATAACTTTACTTTTCTCTATCCATTAATTTCGATCGTGCAACAAAATCTTCAGCAGTCTTACCAAAATCATTGATGGCATTTCGAAGAGGATCTTAAAAAGAGTTTCAACTATTTCATAAGAATGCTAAAAACAATTATTTTTATACCGAGAACAGTAGGATCATTTGGTTTAAGATTGTTCATAGCTTGCATAAGTGCTGTTGTATATCGTGTTACATTAAATTGTAAAACAGGTGTCTCAGATAGAAGTAATACTAGAACACCTATAAATTGTCCCATTGTTCTATGAGCCTAATTAAGAATTAAGTAAATATACAATGAAATATATAGCAGAAGACCCTAACTGTAAAATCGGGATCAACAAATTTTTTCATCATTGAAAAGACTTCATAAGATGTGTGATAAAGTGGATGTGACGCTATATTTCTTTGCTCAGCTGAATTGTAGGTATATCTTGCATCCATATTTGATGAGCCAACCAATTGATCAAAACTAAAGTAGTCACTACCTGATCCACGATCGTATGTTAATCTACACAAATATGATTATAAGAGCTTGAGTTAAATTTACGTGTTTACTTTGGTTCATCAGTTATATTATTTCGATTAACACGCATCCATTTATCATAGACAGTTTGTCCAGGAGCATCGTAGGCACTTGGAACCTATACTTACAATAAGAAGAAGAAGAAAGAAGATTGTTTGATTATGCTCACCATTTTGGATGCTTCAACAATAATATCAAACAACATTGGAGCAGTTTTGACTAGAATCGTATAGTTTCCTTTTTCGAACACAATTAAAGTAATTATTTCAAATTTTATCATATGTAGTACCTTGTACTGCACTATCTACGTTCAAATATGAAACAATTCGTGCACCCAATACTTTAACATATTCCTTAAATAACATAAAATTATAGTTGTTTGATAATCTTTAATGTTTAAAAACACACCTGAACATATTCCATTGATCCAATGAGTCCATATTCTTCTGCTCCCCATGAACAAAACATTAAGCTACGTCTTGATCGAAATCCTATTATAAATATATGTTAATTTCATAATTATTTGAACA